CTGTTTCTGAGTCCAGTCTTTCATGGTTCGTCTCCCCCTCCGATGCCCCCTGCTTCATTTTTCCCTTCCTGTCTTTTTTTTTTTTTTAACATATAATTTGTTTCAGAGGTACAGATCTGTGATTCAACAGTCTTGCACAATTCACAGCGCTCACCATAGCACATACCCTCCCCAATGTTATCACCCAGCCACCCCATCCCTCCCACCCACCAGTCCAGCAACCCTCAGTTTGTTTCCTGAGATTAAGAATTCCTCGTATCAGTGAGGTCATATGATACATGCCTTTCTCTGATTGACTTATTTCATTCAGCAGAATACCCTCCAGTTCCATCCATGTCATTGCAAATGGCAAGATTTCGTTTTTGTGGGGTTTGATGGCTGCATAATATTCCGTTTGTGTGTATGTGTGTGTGTGTGTGTGTGTGTATGCACCACATCATCTTTATCCTTTCATCTGTTGATGGACATCTTGGCTCTTTCAAAAGATCATTCTTACAAAGATGTGAGATATATATGTACATTTTGGGGTATTATAGCCATAAAAGAATGAAAACCTGCCATATGCAACAACATGGATGGAACTGGAGAGTATTACGCTGAGTGAAATATGTCAGAGAAAGACAAAATACCGTGAGATTTCACTCATGTGGAATTTAAGGAACCACTCAAAGGAGCAAGGGAAAAAAGAGACAAACCAAAATACAGATTCTTAACTGTAGAGAACCAACCTGATGGTTACCACAGGGGAGGTGGGTCAGGGAATGGGTGAAACAGGGGAGAGGGATTAAGGACTACAGTTGTCATGATGAGCACTGAGTAATGTACAGAGCTGGTCAGTCACTATATTGTATACCCCTGGAACTAATATAACACTGTTAACTATACTGGAATTAAAATGTGAAAAATAAAAAAAATTTAAAAAGCCCATTCTTACAGTTGTAGAGAAGAACAGATTATAGAGGGAAAGGAAGGGGAGAGCATAGTTTGGTTAATTACCACAGTGACAGAGGTGAAAGATGACAATGACCTGGGTCGGAGTGACGGCTGAGGAGATGGAAAGGAGTGATGGACCGAAATAGGGAGTTCTGCAAGATTTAACCTCACCTGTCTTCTGTCTGCTCTCTCCTTCGGTGCTTATCTCCACTCCCACATCTTTAACAATGATAAACCTGGAGAAAACTCTAACCCGGTGGCCCTCATCCTGATGCCACTATTTGACAATTTCAAAGTAATAATGATATGGTTACGTTTCAGAAATTTAAATGGTTCTAGAGCCATCATGCCTCTGCCACTTACTGCCAGTTTGATCTGGGCAAGGTACTTCACTTCTCTGTGCCTGTTTCCTCATTTGTACAATGGGGATAATGTGCTACCTATTCGTAGGGTTGTTCTGAGGAGTAAATCAATACATAAAAACCATTTGGGCACCAGCTTGCACACACCAGGGGATGGGAAACATTAGTTCTACTGCAGGACTCCATGATTTCCGTCTCCATGTCACAAACTGAACTTCCTCTAGCACCCAAACCACCACTTAGATCTGACAATGTCCAGTTCTATTAATGGCACTAGCTAGTGATTCCAAACTGCAATCATATTTGACTCTTTGCTCTCATTTATCACACTGCAGGCAGAAAGTTAAAATACAGATAGGTACTCAGTATTTTTACTTCCACCTGCACATAAAGTGAAAATTACAGCTGCTTTTATTCATTCATCAACAAATACTGAGTACCTATTAAGAGAGTCAAGCAGTTGGATTAGATTCCTATTCTAATCTTTTGTCCTTCAGATACAATTCCTGCCATTTGGTCTACATGGGATTTTTTTTTTTTTTAAGATTTTATTTATTTATTTGACAGAGAGAGACACAGAGAGAGAGGGAACACAAGCAGGAGGAGTGGGAGAGGGAGAGGGAGAAGCAGGCTCCCCACTGAGCAGGGAGTCCGACATGGGCCTCGATCAGAGGATCCTGGGACCATGACCTGAGCCGAAGGCAAACGGTTCAAGGGCACTGATACCAAAGCTTAGGATTGAGGAAAGTGGTGTAAGCTGTCCATCCCAAGGTTAACAGTAGCATTAGCCATTCCTGCCTATTCTCTAGCACTACATCTTTGTGCACAGTGAACAGGTAGTATCTATTAATACTTACTTAGGTTTTTATTTTGGTTATCAAATAACTGATTTCTGAAGTTATTCAAGGAAATTTAATTACAACTGATTCTGGAGCTCACTTTCTCTTGTGGGTCAAGAAGGCCTAAACTCTCCAGATAAGAAGGACTGGTAAAGCGTAAGGTGTATACATAGGGAATCAGGGCCCTAAGTTACAGATACTATAGACACAGGCCTTGCCCATAGGCACAAAATGATGTGTGAAGCATCGATGATACCAAAGGATTTATTTGTAAATGTAGTGGTAAATACATTGCAAATAATTATCATTAAAAAGGAACTAGAAAATTACACATGTTTAAAGTATGTGCTTTTTTCCCACCACTTTTAACTTATGGCTAGTACCAACATTTTAAGTACTGAAATACTTAATGCAATGGTCCATTTTCACATAATTTCGCGACCGTATCTTCATCGTTATTTTTTAAAGCAGTTGACCGTGACTTTCAGTTTCAATTATGATTCTCTGTTTTTATCAGTTCTGTAATGATCTGTAGAATCTTGTCATCTGAGTGGAAGAAAAAAAAAAACACCCATGAAAAAATTCATCACCTGGCTAAATTCCCAATGTATACACATGTGACTAGCAGGCATAGTTGATGAAAAGATTCTTTTAAATTAAAACACAATACTATACCAGCAATATTCACACTAGAGATGTCCACAAAATAGAATTTGTTGCCCTACAAGTATTATTATTGTAGTTACTTGACACCTACTTTGACGGGAATAGGGCCAACGCCCAAAGACATGATGTAATGTAACTATTTGTCCTTTTTAAGGAATTATGTCTTTAAAAATTCCTTTAAGACAAGGGGTTTCCTAACTTTGTCACCTGGCTCAGATATACTGAAGGATCTATCGACTGTTCCATGGTCTTCAGAATACATCGGGATTTCCACAGTACGGGCAAAGAAGGAGGAACTGATACCAGTTGCTCCATGTTTAGTCCCAAAAGAAACAAAAACTTTTAACAGGCAAGGACTCTTGGAGAGGTGTCAGTAGGGAAGTGACAGATCTCTACACAACAAAAGTAGCAAATACCAGTTAACTTGGCAAACAGAGCAACGGAGGCTATAGCGTTTGCTAAGGAGGTTATGGTAACAGATGCTTCTACTTTTAAACAGTTGTTCCCAGACTGTGACTTCCTAAGAACTTCTTAACTACTCTTTAGACAGGTGTAATTACCAGGGATGCAAGCCTGAAATTCTATCTTTATATTAGACACTTCAGCAAGAGAATGCCCTGAGTTTCAATGGTTGCAATGGGAAATTCTGATAACTGGGCCCATGGCCTGGCACTCAAATTCGTGGGGACTACTTCGACATTAAAAAAAGAAAAAAGGTCACTTGCTGCAAGGTAAACAATGACAGGTCTAGAAAGAACCATGATTTTTAAGCTCCCTAAGTCTCAGGGTAGTAGCACTAGATCAGTAGCTCCCAACTTGCCTATGAGAATTAACGGAGATACTTGTTAAATACAATCATATTGAGCCCCACTGATCAATTCTTAACATCATTCAAAGTGGGAAAACCAAATCTGAATGCTTTGTGATGTGATGCAATGAGAAGAACAGAGCAGCAAGTAGAAAATATCCTTCTCCTAGAAATCCAATTAATCAAAGCTTTAGATACAACTATTATTGTCTGCAGGATATACAGGGAATAGAAAAATACATTAAATCAAAGCATGAAGATGTAACCAACCAAATCCTCAATGTGAGAAATTTTACCAGTAAGAGTCCAGTTTAATAAAAATTACTCTATTTAAAAAGGGGGATGGTAGTAGAGGTAAGTGTTATAAATTAAGGGATTAAAAAATAACACACAGCCTCTCCCATAAAGGAGATTCAATATGTCTGGGGTAGGTCTTTGGACTTCGTATTTTAATACCTGCCATGATGATTCTGATGATTTTGCAAGTTTGGGTGGGAAACACTGCACCGGACCAACCAAAAACTCAGGTGTTTATTGCAGGTTTCTGTTGAAGGATAATGTACTTTTTAAACACAGACTAGCTCTGCATTTGTGAGAACGGTAGATAAAAACATGTTGGAAATCTCAGAGAAAGTTCCTTATAATCAAAATTTACAATGCTCAGTTTTACCATCCTTTTTTTCTGTGAAATGGTCTGAAGTTTAGAAGTGAAGCTTAGAAAAGAGTAAAAGAATCTTAAGAGGATAATTAGATTGTGAATAATGAAGCAATGTCTAGGAGTTTGATGGAATTCAGCATAAAATAAACTTTATGAAAACAGTTTTTAATCACATGGACTTCAGTGTGCTCTAATGTACTCCAATGTTTAAAAACAGATGGTTTTCTACTTACATTATAAATACTTACTTTCAAGGGACATCTTAGGATTTTCAAGCTTTTTTCTTAAAACAGAATCAATGAGAACTCTAAGCTGCTTGAAAATGACAGCTATTTTTACAGGAGCCTGTTGAGAGGAGATGACAAATTGGCTGAAGTTAATCCCTGTGAGTGTGAATGTTTCAATAAATGAAGGTAAGCATGTATACCTTACCATCTGCTTAAACACATCTGGACTTGAATATAAAATGTTATTCGGAGAATACAGGGAAATTATTTCCTGTAGCTTCTCTTACAATAACTCTGGGAGTGAAGTCTGAAATTTTGGGGAAGGAATTAAGTTTTATTGATGTGTAATTTATTAACCTTAAAAATTTACTCATTACTAAGTGTACAATTTGATGATTTTTAGTGTATTTGTAGAGTTGTGCAACCATGACCATAATCCAGTTACAATTTCTACCACCCTGTCCTCTTGGAGAACTGCATATATTTTTAAAGTTGCATTTAAGTTTACTTCTCCAATCTTAGACAAATTGTGATGGCATACAGTAACAGAATGTATTAAATTATTTTTTAAGCTGGTCACTGTTGAGGGGGTTACAAGGAAGTAAGCTTATTGCTGGTAGCAATGATTGGTCTAATTTTTCCAGAGGAAAACTTGACCATACTCATTAAAAGCTATGAATCTGTCTGTGTCTTCTTATAGGTGGCACAAAGTAGAAGGAGCTTAAAAGTCTTGCTTGGCCAGTAACAATTCATTTAAGGAAGTTATTTAAACTCACTGAATCTTTAAGTGTCTCATCTATAGAAAGGAAACTACAGGAATTAATCACAAGGTTATCAGGGTTAATAAATTTGGGATAATCCATGTAAAGTTAACTATTGAGACATAGTTAATTTATGGATGGCAAGTTATTACTGATAATAAATGCAATCCGTAATAGTAGCGATATTTGATTTTCATATTTAACAGATTTAAAACAATATAGGTAAGATAAAATAAGGAAGTCTTCCACTTTAAGTGAAATTATAGGAAGAAATTATGCAAACGCCAATAAAATTTTTAAAAATCTACCTCAGTGGTACTGCAACTAGAAAATTTTAATGTTATGAGATCAGCTATAGCATGTACCTGAAAATAGATCCAGCCATCAATAGAAAGAAGACGTTCCCGGTGTTGAACTTCGATATCACCACCAAAAAGTAAAACTGGAAAAGGAGTTATTAGAGTAGTTTCCCTCAGATATACTCGGGTATACCTTACCTGCATAGGAATAAAAGAGAAAAACAAAACACAGCCTAAAAATGTAAGAAACTCATTTATGTTTCATATAAGCATTTTTCTATAATTTGCTCCTATAAGATTTACATCATAAGTTTTGTAAAGCTACCTTTACATCCTCACATGTGCATAATTTGCCAATTTTATAATAATCACATTCACCATCTGTGCATTTACCTTATTAAAAGGCATTTTGAAACATTCACTGTAAGGGTGAATTATATACCTTGAACATAAATGAAACTATGAACAAGAATTTTATAATGCCAATGCTGTTAATTAGCTCAAAAATAAAACTGTTTCAGTGTCTGGTTTCTAGATCAATGTTCAGCTATGGCCATTAGTCAGTAATTCCTCATGTTTTACATTTAAGTTTTATGACAGGGTAATGATTTTTTGAGCCAGAGCTTCAAATTATGGATCCTTGTTAGTTTATAGCAAGCTACGATTCAAAAGATTTTTTTTTTTAATTGCAATCTATAAATACTTGCTTTTAAATTATCTTGGGTTACACTGTGACTCAAACTGTTGCCTGGTCATATAGTTTTGTCTAATCCCATCTCCCCCTTATTTGGAATGCACACATAACATGTCTTTGTTCTCTGTTGAGGTAGGACCTTTTGGTAAAATCTCAGGGAACTCATACATTATTAAACAATATCTATTTGCTATAATTGTCTTTACTTCAAAGTAGGAAAGATGATGGTCAGAGTAGAAACCTTAATATTTTTCTTCTTAAGGTTTTTTTTTTTTTTTGATGAGAAACTATGTACAAAAATAAACAGCTTGAGAACCAAATATAATACCTGTTGGGGCATCCTAACTTGTTACAACTGACTTCTAGAATAATGCTCTGAATAGAGGAATTAAGAATGAGCACTTTACCTTCTCCTGGTATAAGAGCCATCCGTAAGTTTGCAAATCTCGATTTACCGAGGATGGATGTACTTGTGCTTTGCCTTGGGCTGTCTCCACAATGCAAGCCAATTTTTCTGTAACATCAACTGATTTTGTATAGATTATCTTCCCCACATTGTCATATAGTCCAGCGACCAGTACAGCTTTAAGAAGGGCAATTTCTTGGAAGGAAAGGGTCTGTGAGGCTCTGTTTCCTTCCCAGTCATTAGATGTTGTGGATGATGAAAATCCTGCTGCCTTAACCAACTTGATTAACTCTTGCTTTACATCCTAGATTGGTTTATGTTAAAGAGACAAGATCGTAATTGATTAAAATAGAAAAACTGACAACCCCTTAATATATTGCTGTTCCCTATCAAAACTGATAGGATGCCAAATTATTTGGTTAACTACAGCCCAAATCAAATGAGGGATGAAAAAACGATACTGGTATATCAAGGATTGAAGAGTTATCTATTTCCACATTCCAAGACTTTACATGTCATAAAACACAATGTCTAAAATGTGAGAGCAATAAAAATGTGCCTGAACACATTTGCATTCAATATATTTACTTTAGTATTAGCTCTCTCCACTCAATGAGGACTAATATTGAGGAAGAACAGGAGAGGAATCTTGATCCTGGACTGCAAATACTCTGTTCATTTGCCCCTGAGAATCTCACCTTAATTCTAACAATGACACCTCACTTAATCTAAAATTGTTGCCTAAAATCTATATTTACCTTTAGTAACTAAGTGCCAATCAGCTTAAATTCTATAGGAAGGATGAGCATTTTTCATAGTAAACAGGATACAGCCAATTAAAAGGTGGTATTTACATTTAGGATTTCCTTTAGGTTTCTGGTTTGGGGCTTAAGGAGACTTTGATTCCAGGTGACAAAAGGCCAAATGGCTGCTCTAACACCACAGGGTAGGTGCAGGGATGGAAAACCTTGCAGCCCAGGGCAGGTGAAGAAAAGGCTCACAGAAGGAAGGAGGCAGGAGGCAGGAGGCAACTGGGCGGTTGGCAGGGAGTGGAGACAGAGGAGAATCCCAGTGAGTTAGCCCAGAGGCAGCTGTTTCTTCCATTTATCCCTTTCTCTACTTGTAGAAGGACAAAACTCATTCTACTGAGAGATGTCCCTGCTCTTAACCCAGCCATTATCTTGAATGACAAAAAATAATGGGTTAAGTTTTTATGGGAATCAAATATTTAACCCTTTAAGATATGAGCACAGAATAATTATGTGAGCTACATTAAGTTTATTTTCTGAATACTTTTATAGTGTGTCTGAAGTAGAAACGGTTTGCCTTTAGATGGTGTACTAAACACCATTTCCCACGCACCGTGAACATAAGTATCCGTGGAGGAGCCCTGCTTTCTGCCGTCAGTTGTCTGTATATTTTAACTAAACTTCTACTCTCTCTCCTCCAAGAACTAAGGCTGGTCCTCAACACTATCAAAACCTGAGTGAGGGGCACAGCTGTTTGGTTTCCCTTCCCAAGAGCAAATTTATATACCTGGTCACAATCAGCCACAGGGTACCATGCCTTGGATGCCTTTCCATAATTATCATCCTACCTGCAACGAAGTAGCTGGCTAATATTTAGGAAAACAGAAAAGAATTTCACTGAAGGGGATTGGGGCTCTTAGGCAAAATGACTAGATTCCAAGCCTTGGAAGCATTTTATGATTATTACATTATGATTGTTAAATACTATTTTAAATCACTGTGTAATACATAAAAGTTACCTATTACAAGAAACAAAACAAAAAATTATAAATTTAGTAATTCAGTAAATTAAATTTGTACTATGTGTTAATCACTATCCTAGGCATGCATTTCTTTTTCTAAAATAAGCCTATCAGTCAACCATATGACCCCGAATTAGCTCTATTAAGACTTACCTCTAGGGTTAACAGTGATGTTCTATTAAGGAAGTTCCTCCGGCAGTATGCCATTTCAGAACGATAGCCGCCTTCTTGCCGTGCTTTCTTCCATCTACATAAATAAAATGACCAAAGTTCAACATGTTTTCTTTTCAAACTCTCTCTTTCAGAGGTATTAACCAAAGTAAGCTGTAATTAAATTACAATCACTTAAGTGAGGGGGGGTCTTAATTGTTGTAGGAGCTACTAATTGAATATAAGAATATGAATGGCAATACTGAGATTTTTTGTGTATAAATTATTAACTACAAATATGAGGTAATATAAATTTTAGAAAGGATTAAAAAAAAGGAATCTTTAAGATAATTGTACCTTGACAGATGAAGTAACTAAAAGGTAAATCTTAGATGTATCTTTTTAATGGAAGTCAAAGATAAACTTTTTTAAAGTAAATAACCTCAGGTCACTGACTTATTGACAACATCCAGATTTTTTCTTTACCCTAGGTATGCGTTGTAGATTGTCAGGTGGTCTGAATCGGCCATAGCCAAAGCTGATTTTGCAAGATCTGCCTCATCTTTGCGACCAATTGGTGTAGTAAAAGGAGACTTCTCGGTCATCACTGCAGCTAGTGTTGCCTATCCATAAATAACCAAAACATTTATCAGTAAAGAAGTATACATGGAAGGGTAATTTGTAAAAGAAAGCAAATCATACAACAGTCCCACTTTCAAGTTGCATGTTTCTTCTTTTCCAATACCTTTATTGTGTTCTACAATAGCTAACATTTTCATTTTAATTAGTTACTTTGGGCTTCATTTTGTTTAATTTTAAAAATATGTCACTTTTAGACCATATTTATAAGTCACATCACCAGAATCAGAGATAAAAACCTGAATGGGTATGGGGATTCATAGTCTGTCACACAGTTAGACTCAATCTCAGAATCATAGCTCACATATCTTGACTCTTACTAAATTCCCATTGCCTGCAACGTTCTTTAAATACTTTTAAAATAATTTGTAATGTATTATGACCCATTTGTTGTTGTTGCAGCTTTTCACATCAATTATCATGACAGAGGTTATTTTTTGGATCAGCACAATTCTGGTGAGTATTCATAATACTAGAGAAACAGACTACTAGAGTACGTTACGCTCTTTCATTCTGTTTTTAAACAGCCTTGATCTGCAGTCCCAGAAAAGGCCATAGCCTGGTAAAACAAAGTTGAAATGGCACAGCAGGCATATGAGCCCAGATATCCAGAAAGAGGCACAAAATTTGTTAATTCTGAGATAATAAAATAGAACTGTTAGTAATTGCTGGCTCAGAGAGATAATGCAGAAAAAGCGAAGGAATAAAGTTTCTCATCTTGTTCTCCTCAGAAAAGTCTGTGGGGTTCTCAGTTTTCAAAGAATCATCTACTATAAAGGGGCACCTGGGTGGCTGAGTCAGCTGAGCGTCCAATTCTTGATTTTTGGCTCAGGTCATGATCTTAGGGTCATGAGCTCGAGCTCTGGTCGGGCTCTGTGCTGGGCATGAAGCCTGCTTAAGACTCTTTCTCTCTCTTTCTCCTCCCCTCCCCCCACAGCTTGCTTGCTCTACACCTCCTCCCAAATCTATATATTCTATTAAACATTTCAAGTGGGATTTTTGATAGCAAAAGTCTATACAAGCCAAACCCATTTACAAAATAGTACCTACAGTATACTTAAGGGATGAATGTATATTATCTTGTATATAAATATAAAAAGTTAAAAATTATTTCCAAACTTAGCCAAAACGATAGTTAAAGTGAAGAAGAAAGAGCAGCCATTATCTTACCACTGGGTCAAGGCACCCAAATATGGCACCAAAAATAAGCATCTTGCCAATCTTGACATTCACAGGCAGAGCTGCAAGGTGTTGGCCCAGTGGAGTCAGTGTAGGCTCATTTAGTTCACATGCTCCAATTTTTCGGAGTAAATTCATTGCATTGCTGATTACTTGAAGCTGAGGAGGATCTAAGGCTTTGGAGAGGAAATCTTCAGGAGAACCAAGATTGCATTTCTGCACATTAAAAAAGAGTGATAAATCAGTATGCTATTAGAAAGAATTGACCAAAGAGATGGTCAAGTTGGAAATAAATCCTGAGCAAAGAGACATAAATATTTCAGTAAGGCTATCCTGTTCTTTTTCTTATAACTGGGCATATGTGTGTGTGAGAGAGAGAGAGAGAGAGAGAGAGAGAGAGAGAGAGAGTGTGTGTGTGTGTGTGGTGTGGTATGGTATGGTGTGTACGGCTGGCATGAGGAAGAGATCTAATAGGGAGTGTGTGTGTGTGTGTGTGTACACACATACGTACGTACACACGTACGGCTGGCATGAGGAAGAGATCTTCTAGTCCATAGTTTTAGTTTCTTCATTCCTGATTTTTGTAAAGTCAAAATCTAAGAACTGAAGGGTAATATAGATCTTCCAGACTAGGAAGCCCTTGGTCTGTGTCAGGGTTTCTCAATCTCAGCACTGTTGTTATTTTGGGCCAGATAATTCTTTAAGAGACTGCTGTGCAATATGCAGTGTTTAGCAGCAGTCCCTGGCCTCTACCCACTAGATGCCCATGTCGCATGGCCTCCTTCTCCCCCTAGTTCTGAAAAGCAAAAATGTTTGAAAACATTGCCAGTTGTCCCTTGGTGAGCAATACTGCCCCCAGTTGAGAGCTAGTTTTAGTCTATAAAGGATGAGTGCCTGTGGTAGAATCTAAGCACAGTGGGTTTACTTATAAAAATATGGGGGACGGGGCACCTGGGTGGCTCAGTCAGTTAAGCGTCTGCCTTCAGCTCAGGTCATGATCCCAGGATTCTGGGATCGAGCCCAGCGCCTACTTCTACTTCTGCCTCTGACACTTCCCCGTGTGTGTGCTTTCTCTCTCGTGAACACTCTTTCTCTCAAATAAATAAATCGTAAAAAAAAAAAAAAAAAAAAGATGGGGGAGGGGGTATTTATTAAAGAGTAAATAAAATACTTGAAAATCTAGAGCAACATAGGGTAAGAGAAGTCTTCATGTTTTGTTTTTTTCTTTTTAAGAAAGGGGTAAAGAATGAAAAAATAGCATCTGAATTCCTTCGGCATTACCATAATATGAAGACATAATTCCTCCAAAGGCACACGCAAGATTTCAGGGACAGAATAGTCCATAAAGCCTTCAAATCTGAAGAATAAAATAATGTTAAACACGTGACCTCTTATCAGAAATGCCACACTACAAGGACTGATGTACTTCTGACTTCCAGTGCTGTGTCATACCTTTCTCTGGTATACATCCTGAAGCAGAAGCCGTCTCGGACCCTCCCCGCCCTCCCCTGGCGCTGCAGAGCACTTGCTTTACTGACAGACGTCTCAACCAAAGAACTCATCTGACTGCTTTCATGGTACCTGAAGAAAAGTTTTAGGAGAAAATATTTAGAGAAAGGACTTAAATCAAAATCTGAAAAAAAGCTGGAAATAGGTGACTCTTAAAATTACACTGAAGACAGACTAAAAAAAGTCCATCATAATTGTGGGCCATTTTCCAAGTCATGTTTCATATTTAAATAATTCAGCAAACTTTGCAAACTAAATCTCACACTATCCAATTAAAAGCTTCAGATACCTCTCCAAGGGAAAAACCTGTTTAACTTAACCTTTCCCAAATTAATATGACCATGGAAGATGTTTTATTTTAATGGAAGGCCTATGAATTATGCAATAAGACTTCTTTGAAACAGTTTGAGAAATGCCTGTCAGTAGTCATATGCATTGCCAAGTATTGCTGAAGTTTCCTAATAGTGGGAGAGTGTACATGGATTACAACAGACTATCAAGGTGGTCTTCCCTGTTTTTGCAATATAAGCATTAAAACATTTATAAAGTGGTAATCTTTTTATGAAGATTCAGGTAAGGTTACCTAGTAAGTGCCAATTAACATATCATGTACTTCCAATTATGAAAAATATTTATGCTCCCCATTTACATATGAGGGGACTGATGATTATACTTAGTGTATTATTACTTGCTCAATATTACAGATGAGAGATTTAAATCCAACTCTGATTCCAAAATCCATACGCTCTGTTATAATCTCATAAGTAATATTTTTGTAAAGATATTTTACAAATTTACAAAAAATTATGTTCTGAGAATTTTCTCAGAGTTTTCTATAAGTAGCGGTATGGGAAAACTCAAGACATGAAACTTGACATTTACTCTTGGGCATGTTAGTTTCTCTGAGGCTTTTTGCTTCGGGTAGAGTTAGGACATTTGGGATATTCCCTATATGATTCTGTGATTTCTCCCAAGAATATAAGAGCACCAAACCCTTTTCAAACTTACTTATTTTCTTTTGTTCTTCCAGTGTCAATTACAAATACAACATCTGGAATAGTGATACCAGTCTCTGCAATATTTGTTGCTAAAACAATCTGAAAATAAAAGCCAAAATATTTAGATAACAACTTTTAGCAGTGTGCAATCATTTAACGTATATAGTTTGACCTAATGAATTTTAAAAAGTGAATCTCAAATTTACTAAAATTCACCATTAACTTGCTATTACTATGTAATTTAATTCATTACAATTAGTTTTCACAGCTTAGCTTGCTATTTAAAAATTTTTATTCCAACAAAAATACCGTTCCCCTAATTCTAGTCAGTCATCTTAAAAATGAACTAAGTAGCCTGCGAAATTGGGTCAGGAGTAGAGACAGCTCAGCACAACCATTCACAATTATTGGGACAAAAATAGTATATCAGTAAGAAGTTTGCTGTCCTGGCTCTACCACTTACTAGCTTTGTGACCTCAGCTAAGTCATTTTACCTCGGGTGACTTTAGATACTTCTACTATAATTTAGGAGGTAGAAATAGATGATTTCTTAGATCCATTTCTAGTTCTAAAATTCTTAATGGTGATGGCTGAATACTGCAGTCTTTGCCTTTTTTCTCTTGAGTCCTTAGAGGTAAAACATTTAGGGAATTTTCCATCAAATACTCACTTTCGTAATGTTCTATCTCAACTCTGTAATTCAATAGTGGATGCTTGTTTTTCCTATTCATTTGACCTAAGAAATAATAATCTGATGTTCTAATACTTAGATGGAACCTAGGTGCCCATTCTATCTCAGTAACATTTAAATTAAAAAAAATTTTTTTGAGGGCTGCCTGGGTGGCTCAGTTGTCTGCCTTTGGCTCAGGTTGTAATCCCAGGGTCCTGGGATTGAGTCCTGAATCGGGCTCCTTGCTCAGCAGAGAGTCTGCTTCTCCCACTTCCTGCCGCTCCCCCTGCTTGTGCTCGCTCGCTCTCTGACAAATAACTAAATAAAAAAAAAAATTTTTTTTAAGAGGTAGAATTCTTTTCTTTAAACCAAATCTTAGAGGGAAGCCCAAATGTTACAGATCAGAGCAGCCTCAGAACCCAGGCTCTTTCTGGGAGCTCGTAGATTTCCCACAGTTCTTACACTGCGCTCTTTTATCCCCTTCTAAATCTGAGAAACTCTCTGCCAAGTATCTCTTCACATTTAGAATCCTGAACAGAGGAGACATGAAAATACTGAGTCTGTTTCCTAACCTAATGATATGTATGTTACAAAAATAATCAGGGATGAATAGCCTGGAGAACAACAAAGAATCCTCACAGGATTCAAATAGCTCCTGACTTTAACATCCTTCATGAAAAAGATGGGATTTTTCTTTTCACGAGCAAAATCCATGCCATAATATTTTTCAACTGTCACTCCCCTAAAAGCCTTGTCCCTTTAATAATGCATAATATAAATAAATATTCAAATACTTCAATTTCAATACTGGGTTCACTACTGATTATGTTAAGCTAGAGAGCATCTGGAGCCTGCCATGCACTGTAAGGCACTTAATAACATCTTAATAACTGTCTGTGATGTTACAGAGTCCTAACGTTTTCACAAAATATTCTCAGAAAAGATTACACATAAATTTGCTGCACTGAATTTTACCTTCCTGACTCCAGGAGGAGGAAGTGTGAATGCTGCAGCTTGATCTTGAGTTGAAAGAATAGAATGCAGAGCTATCACTTTATATCTGAAAGTTAAAATCATAGTTCTTAGCAAGAGTTTCTCTTTAGAAGACACTGCAAAGAATAACAAAATTTATTTGCAAATAGCAATTTAATTTTGTATTATGAAAAATTTCAAACACAAAAGTTCTGAGAATGCTACAATGAAACCACATATACTCATTAAAGAGAAAATACTTCATATGAATTTATATGGAATATAGGGTTTAGAGAATTTAAAAATATGCTTGGATATGATAACAGTGACAGCAGTAATGAACCATATCAGGAGAGATACACTAAACAGCTGATTCCACATCTGGATGATAAACTGAACCTGTAGGGCTTTTGCGCTGTCCAGGTGGTTGGGGGGTCACCATCTTATTCTCAACCATAGGATTCCCTCTGCTTACTCATATTAAGAAAATAGAACAAAAGCAGAAATAATACCTAAAATTTTTAGTACATTAAGTGCTATAATAGAAATGTTAAAAAACTTCACCTTGGATAATTTTAATTAAAGGTAAAAAGACTGAAAATTCTGATCAGGAGTTTTAATAAGCAAAACATTTTCCTATTTTAAAACTACTTGGAATATAATGAAGATTTGTAGTTACCGTTCAGAAAAAAATCTTCTGTCAGTTGATAGGAGATCATACAACTGTTGAATATGTGCAAGTCCTGGTAAAAATATCAACACTGCTCCTTCAATATTTCTGAATTGGGGACTTCTGTCTGAAATTCAACATAAGAAGAAAGGTAAGGGGTAACATGTAACATGTTAATAAAACATCTTTAGTTAGCAGAAAAGTTTTATCAAAACAAATGGAGTCAAATTAGAAAAAGATATATACCTAAATATATAAGAAGTTCCAAAATGAGATCAAGATTGATTTTATGAGGATTCATGTAGAGAATAGCATGCTGAGTGCGGTTGCTATACTTTTGGTAAAATGGATTTAAATCAGCACTTGATCCAGTATGAACTGGTATATATTCCTATGAGAAACACAATCAGAAAAAGGTGAACAAAAATATTAACTATTTTTATAAGACAAAGAAGGAAAAGAGTATTTGCATTCATCCAAAACTGTATTTCTCCTTGTCATTATTTTGTTAAAATATGGTAAGGGTAGTTTTTAACAGTGGAAAAAGTATAAAATTTCATGTCTTGCGTATTTCATTTCCTTCAACTTCCTTAAGTATAGCAAAACTTTTAATCTTGTCCTGTAAATACTAAATTAAAGAAGAGCTAAGAAAAACAGAACACTCTATGCATTGTTCTGTGGCAACTAAGAAGCAAGCCAGGAGAAGTTATAGTAACTTTTTGAGGGGGGCAGGAGGGGCAGAGGGAGAGGGAGAATCTTATGTAGGCTCCACGTCCAGCACAGAGCCAGATGCGGGGCTTTATCTCATGACCCTGAGCCCAAACCAAGAGTCAGATGTTAAACTGAGTCACCCAGGTATCCCCATAGTAACTTCAATAAGTAGTTTAAATCTGCTCATTCCTACTAGATTCTACTTTGGTTGCTGAACTCCAATTATCTCTTTGAAATACCTTTAATTTTCTAAAGTACTTCTTTAGTTTCTAATTTCTATCTCCAAAATTTTAGGGAAAGAGTTTAGTTTTTGCTTTCTGGATTAGTCTGCTTGAATAGAAGATAAAGTAACTTTGAAGGTGTTTCCATCAGATTGGATATAAGCATGAAATATCAGGGATACAAAAAAAATACTGGATATAGTACCACTGGTTAAAATGTAGGATAATTTAGCTTTTATGATAGTTCTAAAAATAAACATGTCATTGAAACTAACTCTAGGAAGAACTGTGCTTGCTCTAGATAGCTTCAGCTATATAGCCAAGGTTGGCTCATACCAGGACAGAGACTGCTGAGAAAAAAATGGCAAGGATCTATCTAGATTTTGGGCCTGCCCCATCCTCAACACCTAAGGTGTTCAGATAAAGTAAAGAAAATAATTACAGGGTGGGAGGGATGGGGTGGCTGGGTGATAGACACTGGGGAGGGTATGTGCTACGGTGAGCGCTGTGAATTGTGTAAAACTGTTGAATCACAGATCTGTACCTCTGAAACAAATAATATATGTTTAAAAAAAAAAAGATAGCAGGAGGGGAAGAAGGAAGGGGGGGAAATCGGAGGGGGAGACGAACCATGAGAGGCGATGGACTCTGAAAAACAAACTGAGGGTTCTGAGGGGAGGGGGGAGGGGGGATGGGTTAGCCTGGTGATGGGTATTAAAGAGGGCACGTTCTGCATGCAGCACTGGGTGTTATGCACAAACAATGAATCGTGGAACACTACATCAAAAACTAATGATGTATGGTGATTAACATAATAAAAATTTTTAAAAAATTATAAAATTACTCCTAATTAATCATTGCTATGAAACAATAAGGGTTGCCTCTTATTTATATGG